ACACCTTTAATCCCAGCACTCAGGAGGCAGAGGCAGGTGGATGGATCTCCCTGGATTTGGGGCCAGCCTGAGTACAGAGTGAGTCCCAGGACAGCCAGGGCAGTTACACAGAGAAACCCTGTCTCGGGAAGAAAAATAATTATGTTGTGTGTGTGGATGTATTGCTTGGTGCCGTGGAGGCCAGAGGGTACAGGATTCCCTTGGGACTGGTGTTACAGACAGTTGTGTGCTGCCATGTGAGTGCTGTGATTTGATTCTAAGGTCCTCTTAACCTCCCAGCCATCTTTCCTGCCCCAGGTCTGCACAGTTTTAAATGCCCACCATTTATTTAGCAATGTGCTAACTTTCAAGAAGAACTAGAAGAAGCCTCGGACCTGGTTCCTTCACCCTTGGAATTTGGGAATTATACAAGAGGCAAAAAGAACAGGAATTAGCCAGGCAATGGTGGTGCACGTCCTTAGTCCCAGCACTTGGGAGGCAGAGGCAGGCAGGTCTCTGAGTTCCAGACCAGCCTGGTCTACAAGAGCTAGTTCCAGAACAGCCTCCAAATCCACAGAGAAACCCTGTTTTGAAAAACCAAAGGAAAAAAAAAAAAACAAAGCAAAACAGGAATTGGCTGGGGGTGTAACTCAGTGGTTGAGGGCTTGTTTGCTTGTTTAATGTGTGTGAGTCTTGGGTTCAGTTGCCAGTACTGAAAAAGATAAACCAAAGAGCAACCCAAAGTCCATATACTGCCTAGTTTTATGTCAGCTTGATACAGCTGGAAAGAGGAAACCTCAATTGAGAAAATGTTTCCACTAGATTGACCTGTGGGTAACCCTGTGGGTTGTTGGTCTGTATTTATTTATTTATTTATTTATTTATTTTTATGATTTGTGTGTGAGGGCACTGCTGGACTAGTAGACTGAGGTTCGATAAGAAAGCAGGTTGAATAAGCCATGAGGAACAAGCCAGGAAGCAGTTCCCTTTTATTGCCTCTACATCAGCTCCTGCTTCCAGGTTCCTGCCCTGTTTGGGTCCTGCCCTGACCTCACTATGCAATGGAGTGTGACCTGAGAGATAAAGCAAACAAACCCTTTCTTTTCTCGCCAAGTTGCTTTTGGTCATAGTCTTTTATCATAGCAATAGAAGGCTATAACTAAGACAGTTCACTATGAATTAACACTTCACTTATCAGGTGCTTAAAATAGTGCAGATGAGAGCTCACATCTGGATCCACAAACAGGAGGCAGTGAGCATACTG